TAATACACTTCGCGTTCACAAAATTCCATTTTGTAACATTAAACCCAGAGAAGGATCAACTCCCTAAGCAAAGAGGATTTACATCCTGTATCCAGCACATCCACACGCTCGCACAAGCCTCTTGGTTCTCAGGAGGGGGGAATAACTGCAGCATTCTTATCAATTAAGTACTTCATTACACAGAAGGACTTAAAGAGCTGGGAGGCATTATGTAATTTTGCTAAAATGCATCTCAAAGCCTCTACCACACTGCCTCATATCCCACAGCTGACATTTAAATCACCCCAGAAAATCTGTACACACAGGTAATCTGATTCAGAAGCAAATCGTTTAGTAGTAAACAAATGTATCTGATGGATTTCTTTTGCCAGATGGAGCGCTTTATTCATTGAGCTGTTCATCAGACATGCAAAACACGAGGAAGAGTTCGACACGTTTATCTGCAGTGGCCCGAATTACGCTGCTCATGTGGGTGGATTCCTAAAAGAATCATGCCAACCCGAAAATCTCCTAGCATGAAGTGATGTGCTGTTCATACGATGAACAACTATTTAGATAAATTGAAATGTAGTCTCTGGGGTTTCAATTTTCATCGTTTGTTTTCAACAATTAGCATGTTTACAAATTTGCAAGCAAAGCCAATAGTAATCAGAGCAGGCAGGACTCCAGACTGTAAGTGATTGTATTTGCAACCTTTTTTCCTGCCAGTGCGACTGAATTTTTGAAAGAGGTCGTGCTGGTGCCACTAGCGATTTGCAGAACTGATAAGCAATGGCATTCTGTTTGTGTATCAGAATGCGTTTCACTGGAATTAGATGACCACTATCCAGAGAAATCCAATGAGGAAGTTTGTTAAAGATCTAAACTTGTTTAAAGGGATAATTCACCCAAAAATTAAATCTCTGTCATCATCACTTGTTTAAAATCTTTTTTCTGAGTTTCTTTCTTCGGTTGGACACAGTTTTTTGAGGAATTATTTTGAAAGATTTTTGGTTGATGGTAGCCATTGACTGCCATTGTTGGAAAAAAATACTATGGAGGTCAATGGATACTATCAACCAGCATTTTTAAAACATCTTCTTTTGTGTCAAAAACAACAGAATGCACAAGACATATCACTCGTATAGTTTTGAATGGGGACAAGTGTAACGGTCAATATGGCGAATGAAGCCCTGCCTACTATACAGGAGCCAAACATCAATCACTATATACTGACCATTTCTAGTGGAAGAAGCTCAGATGTGTGCTTTTAAAACAGTTTGGTGGTCAACAAACAAACTGGAATCTCAGTGAATACTTGCTTCACAGACAAAAGAAATATATCCACATAAAGCTTGAAATATTTATTTTTAAATGAAACCACTACACTTGAAAACAAAACATTCTGGTTTTGTAATCTTTATAAAACAAATGCCCGTCCTGTCGAACATGACAGCAACTACCCAAACACCCACAAACTAAAAAAAAATCATTATTCAGAGGATGATAAATTGTAGAACGGCCATAAATGAGGTTGGTGTTGTGATCTTGTTTCTTTTGAGTGAGCATGCGCACTAGCTTGGGCAATCTAAAAAATATGTTGACTTAGTTTGAGCAAGGACATTTAGAAAAGAAACTTGTGAGACAGTTGTTATTTAATTTTATTGGTCATTCCAAAAATGTATTGTAATCATAAGCTTGGCAAACAGTTTTGGAGAATTTGATGTTTCCCCATTCAGATATGCTCACCCCATCGCGGTGAGCATATTGCCCGAGAGGCATTTCAAAGATAGCTGCAGAGTTAAAATAACTTGTCTCAAAGGGACTTCGTTAGTGTTTAACAGAGAAAAAAAAAACATTAAAATCACATGAGAGAGAATAAATGGTGAGGTAATTTTCCTTTTTTGGGTGAACTATGCCTTTAAAAACACAATGCTGATGCGGTAAACACCTGAACAATTGTACAACTACAATCAAGTTAGAAGACTTTTCATTCCTCTAATTGCAAATTATTATAATGGTTTTACAGTGGTCTCATTTCATTGGAATCACTGGCAGAAATGTGGAATGTTCAGATCAAATTACATTATTAAACATGTTAAAGGAGTGATGTCAAATAATTACTGTATGTTTTTTTTCATTTAAACTGTACAAAATGCCTTTACATCATAGTATTTTTTATAACAAATGTCATAAAAAGATGGGATACCCTTTTTAGTGAGGTTGTTATACAATACTTGTGGTTAAAGCAGTGTAAAATACTGTATTTTTGGCATTTATACTGTACTAAATGCCTTTACATCAAAGTTTTGCATAACAAATGTCATAGAAAGCATACATTTTGGTTAACTTTTTAGTGAGGTTGCTATACAATTCTTTTAGTGATCTACAAATGTATAAGTTGTAGCTGTTGCAGTTTTAGTTAATAAAAAGCACTTCTGCTACTCTCAAGTCAAGCTTCTATGAAACTTGTAATACAATTAGTACCACATGAGCAGCTTTACCAAATCAAGTGTTGTTATCTCCATCTGCAAAATTGAACGCCAGTAGTGCCAATGCTCTCAAACATTAGTCTGGAGCCCTGGCAGAAAATGTCTATTTATTAGAACATCTTTACACGGCCGATTTAAAGTGGCCCTAAACAGGGTCTGTGTGTGCTCAGAATTCAGAGTAAAGACGCTATGCTGCATTAAACGGTCTGCGTAAATACACATTTTTGTAAATTTATGCCTCTTCAGATTTGGCTTCTGTGTCGTATAAAGAGATGAAATGCCTGAACAGGTCTATGAAGCGGAGAAACTTCTGCTCAATTAGTAATGTTTAAATAAACACACGCAGTCTAGCTTTTTTTTTTTACATATTCATAACACATTCAATAAATCATTTGATCTCCAGATCATACTATGAAAACTGTTTTCACAGTCGATGTATTAGAATGTCAGTGTTTGTTTATGTGACTGAGCCTTGTTTTACAGTTCACTGGTCATGTTAGGCCACTGTCATTTGTCATGAATGTACTCGCACTCGCTGGCCAACAACCACCACTTCAGCTGACTATACAACTCTCAGTCAAAGGCAGTTTGCAAAACACATATGTAAAGCTGTCGCTCACTTGCCCTTATTAGCTTGTCTGTTAGTACTACAAGTTTAAACACACTATTTGATGAATCAATGATACTGTCTGGAATAAACACACATGTGCGCACAGGCAAAACAAATACAGCCCACATTCACCACATGATGGCTAACAGTTCTTCAGGTTCACTTAAGAAAACAACGTTGACATAATGGGTGCTGCTGGGGATCTGTTTTAAATAAACATTGGTCAATGGTGTGATGCTATTTTTTTGTGGTAAGAAACTATTAGGCAATGTAAAAACAACGAAATAGTTAAATGCAAAAAGCAACAACAACGTACAGTCAGTGTGGCATCCAACAATTACAAGCCCTTCTTAACTGTGTTAAGGTCACCAATATATAACATTTCATTTTTTTAATGAGTCAAAACAATTTGCTCATATTATTGTAGTACTGTCTTCATATTCACAACTCGGATGTTTAAAATGTACTCAAGCTGCAATCAATGAATGTAATATTTTAAGTCTGTAAAAAAATCATCACAGGAAAATTGCTTTAGCTAAGTTGCCTGTAAATAATAATACCGGAAAACGTGTGACAAAACCAGTAAGAAATGGAAAAACAAACAAACCTTAGATCTTTTTAAAAATGTCAGTGAAGTAATTGCACTTTTTTTTTTTTTTTGGAATCTTTGAAGAGTAAATCATTTTTGAGCAGGTTATGAGTAACCCCAAGAAAATGTATTTTAATTTTAACATACAATTCTCGCTCAATTACCCCAATAAACCACTAATTAGCCACTTATAAATAGTCATTAAGGATGTACTTTATTAGGCCGGGATTAGGGATGTAGAATTAGATCATACTCTATAGGTCATAAACTGTTAATATCTTAATAATAGGCAGGCAATAAGCTAGTAGATAATATTGTAAATTGTTACATAAACTAACGTGCTACTACTTCTTAATATTCACAACTCTAAAGGTACTTTTTATGTACTTAGAGAAAGAGAAAAGCATTTTAGTCTTTCCAAACATAACTTTTTAGTATGGACAACAGCATTTGTCATAGAAAGATTTGTTCCAACTCAGAGCTGCAGGTGAATAAGTGTATGAATCCCTGATAAGTGTGCATTAAGTTATAGAAAAATATCATTTAGACCTTAACTTATATCACATAAGTAACTTCAAGAAACCATTTTGATATTCACAACTCAAACTGTACAATGCACTCAAGGAACAAGTACTAGTCAACTTAATGGATTTTAAACTAGGTTTAAACCAAGAAAACAAGTCTATCATCTTGACTTGAACAACAGTATCTGTCACTGAAACAGTACAGTCACGGTATGCGCCGTATCAGAGTTAAATATCAGCAGATAATAAGCGTCATTTAAGTGACATTTACAGATTTCAAAAGCCCCTAAAACCATCAAGACCACAACTTCCTATTTGTCAGAAATCATGTCAGCACTTTACCAGATGACAAAGCCAAGTGGTATTAGAATGCTTGCTATTCAAACCGACTGTTTTACTGTTTTCCTCGAAGTGACCTGCCAAACAATGTTGACACACTTCTGCAAGAGTGACAGCGCGAAACATCAAAAGCCATGACCTCTATTACGTCACCGCGTAGTCTTACTGTATTTTGTCATCATTATCGCTCACTGACAAGAGAACTTCAGGAATGCGACACAGTGACAACACCGAACACCTGTTTAGCGCCCTCAGAAGCGGTTATGTCATCATCACAAGCGTGTAAAGAACAAAAAACTTGAACCGTCGCCGCGGCCATAGACGGTCGGACGTGTTCAGAATATTCAACCTGGTTCTTACCTCGAGA